GGCCTTAAGGCTTTGCACACCCCCCCCCCAGCATCCCGCGCAGGTAGGATTAGACTAAAAGCGCAGCTTAAAAATGAAGAATCCTTATCGGGAAACGTAGAAGCTCTCTGAACCCAAGCGCGCTTCCCCGGGTGTGTTAAATTTTCCCCTTCTCTGGGGCAGAAGCTTCAGCCTTTCGCATCGTTTATTGTGTTCTCATCCATCCCCCTCCCCCCGACCGATATTTCGGAGAGGCTGCTCCTTCCGTCGGAAGACTCGAATCGGGCGGGAAGTTTGTTGGTGAAGTCAAGCTGGTGGTGGAAGTGGTAGGAGGGGGAGCGCAGAGCAGGCGAGGCTCGACCCAAAAAGTGGGATTTTGGGAGTTTCTCGCTTCTTTTCTCAAACTTCAATGAGGGTCAGCACCGAGAGCGATGCCGGGAATTGCGCGTTACTGGGGGCATCTGTGTTTTTAACTTGTTCTGTGGTTCTTTTTCCCCCCCCCTCCCTGCGAGGTGTCAATCCTGTGAGGCCGCAGCATCAGCGCCGGGGCTCTCGCTAGAAATGAGCTTCAGCGATTTCGAGAAGAGCGATAACGTCCCCCGCGGGAGAGGGGGCTCTCGTTTCTCGGGCTGTTGTGGTTTTCTGACTGTAGGAAGACCCTTCCCCGGCTTGGATTTCAACTCATTTCCTACCTCGCTTGGAGGAAATTTGGGGAACTTTAAGGATAATAACTTTAAGGAAAATAACTGCGTGCAGAGCGTACGAGTTCTTTGGGGTCCGGTCCAAAGGAGGAGCGGGAAGATGCCTCGCGGGTTCCTGCAGGTAGCTCGGGGAGAATCCTTCCTGCTCAGCGGGCGCTAACATCTGGGTTTAATTACAATTAGATCCAGATTTGTAACAATACCAAGGTTGTCCTGCCTGTAAATATTTGCAGGGTTGGAATCGGAGGCGTTTCTGTGCTGTAGAGCACCGAGGCCGTGCGGCGGCAGGCGGCTCGAAGTTTTCCTGATTTTTTTTTTTTTTTTCTTATTTTTTTTTTTTTAATCCCAGAAAATTCAAATTCTCTGGGATCGTCAGCCCCGGCTCTGTCCGTAAAACAAGTGGCACAGCAGGGTCCCGATTTCTGCCCAGGCCCTTCGGGTTGTTTTATAGAGTTGTAATGGCGTTACTCTGGTAAAGCACCGTTTGGGCAGATAAGGAATTAATTAATTGTTCTTTTTAATTATTATTCCAGCAGCTGGGACAACTTTAAGATCGGTCGGGCTCACTTGCGGTTCGCGAGGCTGGGGACGGGGTCGGCTCGGGGCAGGTTCCAGCGGAAGGGAGCAAAAGCAAGCTTCCGCCCGCTTCCGTTTGGAGTGAGCCTCGCTGGGAAGGGAAGGACTCCCGGAGCAGCGGGATTTGGCTGTGAGCTGGGGAATAATTGAGGCGCGATTGGCTTCTCCCCAGCGGTGTTTCGGAAAGCCTCGGATACCGGGCGCTTTTGATGCGCGCCTGATTGTAAAACTGAGCGAAAGAGCTGTGGTGGGTGCAGGTGGTGACGATGGCCTTCATCGCCATCATCTTCAGGGGCTGAGGCTCTTCCTTGGCCTCGCTTCTGCCCACGCTTTTAACTGGCACTTTAGGGATTCTTGGAATTACCAGGGAACATCAGGTGTTTGCAGGGCTGGGATTGCCCCGGGGCCGTTGCAGGTCGAGGTAAATCAAGAGTTTTATTAATGCTTGGTCAAATTAACGACCGTGAGTCGAGCGAGTGCTGGTTCTTGCGCCAGTCGGGTGGGAAACGACGTTACCGATGCCCAAGCGTCGATCCCGGAAGCCTGAAGGCCATCTTGGGAAGCTGTCTTCTCCCCCAGAGCATCGGTCAGTCCTGCGGGACACAAACGCTTCCCTGCTCCCAGGCCCCGTGGCTAAAATGGAGGAACAAAGTGCTTGAATTTTACCAAAAGACGCTCCCTGCCCCAGCTGGGGCTCGGGCTGGGGGGGGGGGGATTAGTTCCCTGGGAAAATGGCTTCTTGTTTGGCAACGAGCTGGGGTGATTTCGGCTTCATAGAATCATAGAATGGTTTGGGTGGGAAGGGACCCCCAGAGGTCACCCAGCCCAACCCCCCTGCAGGAGCAGGGACACCTTGAACCACATCAGGTTGCCCACAGCCCCGGCCAACCTGGCCTGGAATGTTCCCAGGGATGGGGCCTCCACCACCTCTCTGGGCAACCCCTGCCAGGGTTTCACCACCC